CCATCGACTCGGATCACCGGCTCTGAGGAAGACGAAGACGTCGAAACGTTAGCCGAAAATAAATATATTTATCAACCTCGTGCAAGCTTATCAAGAAATAATACATATTTATATGGATGTGTTGCTTCATTGTTCTGCTGAACAAGGTGATGACAACGAGCAATTTTGCTTCAATATTCTTAACCTACTGATTAGTAGAAAACAATAGCGAAGTTCTCTCTGCAGTTATGGTCTACTTCCAAAATGTCTATTCCTTCTGAACCTTACCTGCCTTTAATAGCTCAGTCCTAATACGACTTAGATATCTTCTCTTGGCATTCTTTCTCCTATTCTAATATCAACCACGGATCTCCGTCATATGAGGGATCTCGAGCCGGTTAGTAGCGAGGCTACGTGACGCGTAGCCAGGTGGCGGATAGGGACTAAGAGTTGGACCAAAGGCGACCTTTGCTTCCCTGAGCCGCAGGTGGATCCAGGGGATGGACCCCGGTTTCTGCTGCGCTGATTTGGCACGTACATTCTGTATTTCCTAGGCGTGTTCATGCATGTGTGTGTGGGTGCGTTCTTGCTTATGGGGATTGTATTCTATCAGTCAATTCGGACAAAAGGCTGCAATCAAATAACAGGGAAGTATATAGGAGGTGGTTAGAAGTCGCCTCCAACAAATAAGCTCCATGTCCACTCTAGGGAGAGCCTGGCAAGGTGCCCGTGAGTATACCCCGTCCCTATGTTCAAAGCCCAGCAAGCTATACGTGGGTATCGAGTAGCTAAAAGCAGTAAAAGAAACGTGCCTCATTTCCCTGACTCCGAAGGATACCCAATTCGGCAGCGTTGGGCAGGACGAGTACGAGAGGCTGCTAAAATCGTAGGGCCAATGGAAGCTATTTGGATCACGAAGAACTATGGTGACGATCTGTGCCTACAATGCACGTACACTTACATCCGAGTCCTCGACAGAAGACGTGCTTATGCAAGCAAAAAGGATAAAGAACCACGTCATCGGCCTGGCCGAAACGAGAAGACGCCAGCCTTTCAGCGCTGCCTATGGCACCGGAGAAGAACTGTTCCTCGGAATATGAGACAGTAGAGGAGTCAGCGGCGCCGGGGCTTTTTCGTCAACACGAGTTTGTTCATGAACATTGATTCATTCGAACAGCTTACAACCCGAATCGGACGTTTACGATTAAAAAGATGTAGATCAATACCGGCTTTGACAATCTTCGTCGTTTACGCGTCGACATCAAAGTATGACGAAGAAGAAGTCGAAGCGTTCTATATGGACTTGGAGAAGTTTCACTGAGAAGACCTCACATTCTTCAAGGTCATCATTGGAGATTTCGACGCCAAGATTGGACCAAGAAGAACGTCAAGAACTTCACATTGGGACCCACGGGTTAGAATGGAACGAACAGAGTGGGCAGCCACCTGAGTTTATCATGACGACCAAGACCATCCATGGCAACTCGCAATTCCTGAAGCCCCACCCTCAACGCTAGACGTGAGAGTCTCCCAGTAAATACACAGAAGGTCTTGCCTAACCGATATCGCTGTTGCTTCAAGATTCTACACGGAGTCACACCACAGCCTCCTTCGTGCAAGATTCCATTTCTCACAGGAAGGAGAAAAAGCAGCTAAATTCAAAAACGAAATCTCAAAACCACCATAAACTGGGACTTATTCAATTCATTAGTTGGCTGTTGGATAGATGCCGTTGCCGATAACTTCGACGAAGAATGCGATCGGCTCACTTAACATCTTCACGTTAGCGCTATGAGAGCTCGAAATTCACCAAGAGACGTTTGTCTCCAGAAACACTCGAGCTCTTACGCCAGCGTGGAATCGCATGAGCTGCAGACTACCGCGAACTAACGTCCGAACTTGCAAAACAATGCAGACAGGCGATAAAAGAAGATCTTAGAGAAAGAAGAGCAGCAGTTATGAAGAAGAGTTATGATCGAAGCTGTAGAGGCTGGAAAAGCATTCGCAAAGCCCACCGAAGCTTCGCCAATTACAAGACCAAGTTGATTGCACATCGGCGCCCAGACGGAACAGTTACAGCGTCCGGAAAGGCAATGGGGAAAATCATTCACGAATACTACTCAGATCTCTTCGATAGCCACGTCATCCCTCCCTCATGTGAAATAATGGAGGGTGGATAGCTCGTATCATCAGTGCTCCCTTCCAAAACTCGACATGCTATTGCGTAGGTGAAAAATCGAACAACACTTGGTCCGGACAGGATAAGATTTTAACACCTGAGGAACCTTACGCTAGACCTCGTCAACACACTGGCTCCACTTTTCACACGTTATCTGTCCGAATGCAAGGTTCCTACTCAGTGGAAGACCGGTAAGACCTTGTTATTGTTCAAGAAGGGTGACCTGCACGATATCGGCAACTATCATCCAATCTGCTTGCTCTCTATCGTCTACAAGCTTTTCACTCGAGTCATCCTAAACAGGACTGACAGAACACTGGACGAAGGGCAGCCATGTGAGCAAGTAGGGTTTCGAAAAGGATTTAGTACAATGGATCATATCCAAGGCAAGGCGATACCGTCTCGCCAGAATTATTTAGCGCTACCCTCCAGAACGTCATGCGAACATTGGAATGGGATAATATGGGAGTGAAAATCGATGGTCGGTAGTTACACCATTTTCGTTTTGCTGATGAAATCGTCCTTATAACACCAAACATTAGCCAAGCGGAACGTATGCTTGCCGACTTTGATAAAGCCTGTGGAAAGATTGGTCTTTGACTAAATCTCACAAAAAGATGTTCATGAGGTACGGATTGGTTTCGAATGCATTCCCCACTCACACTCAACGGAACGAATATCTCCGAATGGTCCAGTTATGTCTATCTACGTCTGGAAATCAACATGAAGAACGACAGAGTTCAGCAGAAGAAAACGAGAGGCTTGGGAAGCTTTCAAGAGCATCGAGGATGTAGTGAGGAGAACAAAGAACACCCGATTGCGTGCCCACCATTTCAGCTCAACGGTACTTCCTGCGCTAACGTATGCGTCAGAAACCTGTTCGCTGCGTAAACAGAATGAAGAATCACTCAGCGTTATTGAGCGCACAGTCGAAAGGAAGATGCTAGGAGTGACCCGTGCCACGCAAGTAGGGAAGGGGGTCCGAATCTCCTACCTGCGTCAACAATCAAAAATCAAAGATGTCGTTTGTATGCCAAACAGTCGAAAATAAGGTGGGCCGGACACGTAATGCGTATGAATGACAACCGATGGTCAAGAGCCGTTAGTGACTGGATTCCTCGGGATGTTAAACATACTGCAGGAAGACCACCGACCCGATGGTCAGAGTTCTTCACAAAGAGCCTTGAAGAAAGATATGGCGCTCGACGAGTCCCTAGAGCGAGCTGAACCCACTGGGCTACTCTTGCACGCAACAGGGAAAATTGGAAGATTCACTGGCGACCGTTCGAGTAATTGGACGATCAACGGGATTACAGGTGATACAGGTGAGTCTAATATCAATAGTTAAGCGGATAAAAACGTCATCCACACTACTGCTTGTTGATTAACCACGCATCATTCTTCTATACCTCTAACTCTTTAACTGGAAACAAGTGTTTCAATACAGCAAGAAGGCAATAAGTACAAGAAACTATTTTCAGCGAAAGTAATTCATGGTCACGTAGTATTTGCATATTGTGTAGATCTCGGTACATCTTTCATTTGTTTCGTTGTTTTGCTATCGTCTCTTCAGATTTTGCTACCTCGTTCAACTTCATCTTACGGACCTTGTCTTGTTCATGATATCGTTGACCGCTCCTCGAGTTGATTCTGCCTGGAATCTCAAAGTAGTTTTTTTTTAAAGCGCCACCGGTTCTTCACCGCAAACGGTTGCCTGCCTTTGTGAATCGGACGGCCGGAAATTTCTGTTATGAATGCAATGGTCACATTCCTAGCGATGGACAACTGATTTCCTCAAAATAATAAATTCAATGACTAAAGTATGATAGGTGATAGTAAATTCAACTCCTATGTTTGTGTTAGCACTTATTTGGCAGTTTTTGTGGAAATTAGGGCATTCCTCGGAACTCAACTAAAACAAAAAGAGCTTAACTGACAAAGAGTTAACATATTATTTCTGCGCCTTATAATTTCTCATATTTCAGCTGCAGCAGCTTCACAAACTGCGAGAACTTCACAGAAAAGAAAGCCGGATGAAGAGCTTCCATTCTCGTTGGTGGAAAGAGACCGACAGCGTTCTTCAATGATAGACAGAGAGACAGAGCACAATCTTGTAGTAAAGAGGTGGCATGAAGAGCTAGTATTCCATCTAGACGCAAGACGTGGATAGAAAATGCCCAAAGATTTGCGACAGGAGAATATCTAGCACTTCTAGAATATGTGAAAAGAGGACAAGGTATAAAATCCGGCGTATACAAACATAGTGACGCCCGGTTATTTCTCACAGTAGCGTAGCGAGACGATGGTATGTGGTCAACCACACTAGAAAAAATCGTACACGGTTTTTCACCAGTCTTACAATAAAATGGAGTGAGACCATTCACAGAAGAGAAGAAAGGTGGAAGAAAGGCTCTCATTCCCGAAAAAGAGGCGAAGCGAGGATGTTTCGAGGTTCAAAACGGAACTATGTGGACGAGCACCCAGATTGATGTATGAGAATACATGAGGATACGCCACTATGCAAAGTCCAGATCCAACTTTTGTAGATACATGCCCAGTGGAAACTGCCCTTCAATTGACATCACTCTACCGTTTTCCTCATAATCTTTCAAATTTTGTCGCTTTTACCGAACTTCTTTTAATAATTCAAGAACCCTTCGCCTTAAAATACACGCTCTTACTAGTAAACCTTATGGAATCATGGTAGTGAGGAACCTTTTGCTAATCCATTCCTCTTCTCTTCTTGAGCCCATAAAATTCACCTTTGCAGTTCTACTTCCATAGCCTCTGCCACACACTTCTCCGTTTACCCTTCTAATAATCCACTTTTTTGAGCGCACAATGAAACGTGGAGGGACGCGTAGCCTTTCAGTAGTAAATCTTGTCAGGAAGCTTGACAAATATCGAGATTTCGTGTTCATTTGCAGAATAGTACGCGCTAACACTTTATTTGTCCCGTGGAAAGCATACAATAAGAGAACGGAGGTAATAAAAACAGATTCGATACAAAATGTTCCCTATCATCATAAAGCATCCAAATTTCAGTCCATCAAGAAAGGAACGTCAACTGTAAGAAAATTAGTTAAGTACCTGAGATTCGTAAAAAAAAAACGAAGGTACAAAAAAAGAAAAAGGGTGCAGCAGCTAAACTAAAACAACAAATGAGTAGATTATGGTCAGCTTCAAGAAATCGACTTTATGGTATATTCCGCAACACATTCAATAACCCACTGTGCTGTCACCAGATTGTACCGCTTTGGATGTCGATGGAATACGCTCGGGATCTGAATCTAATTTCATTCACGACTTCGATTTGCTATTTGTTCTGATGCATCCATGCATACACCTACATTTTAAATAGATGCGTACTTACATTTTACCTACCCAAGCATACACATATTTTGATATAACATACAACAGTTAGTGGTATCACTAGAGCTAATAAACGTTAGCGGTTTTAGATTATATGTGTAGTCTTATGACGAAGTTCTCAGCTTCGGAGCACTCAAAATCTTTGAAAAACTTACATTTGCTGTTACAGTAACGTCATAAATGATGAACAACGGAGAGGAGAGATGCGGCGCATGGAATGGTGCCGGAGCGTTTGGAACGAACTTAGGTTCTCTTGCAGAGAGCTCACCTCCTCCCAGACGTATCAAGTCACGAAGCAGATGACGATCATCTGATACGAAGAAGATGAGAGAAAAAGCTGATTCAGAGAAAAAAAATAGTGGCCTGAGACAGTGTGAAATATCCCACGCGAGAGGGAAACGCTCACGAAAAATCTAGACGTTGTTTTGGGAATGCCGTACATGAACTAATAAAACAGTTAAACAAAAGTGTTGATGTAGTTGATGTCTGGTTGCTCCATGGTCTCAAAAGGCAATTAACACAGCTTAAAACCTTTCGTCCTTCGTAAAAAAAAAATGAGAACGGTAAAGGAAAAACTATCACAGGTTCAGTTTCATAGCAGTTAGATGTTTTACACTCTCACCTAAACACTGCTCAGTCTAAATAGTAGTGACAAATATCACTTCTCGCAAAAATGGTACGAATATAAATTGCGGTTCCATAATTACCTATATAATACTTACTTATATCTACAGGAAAACTTTAAAATCGGACGGATTTATTGAGAAAAAACCGAGAAACTAAAAATCTGTGATTAATAGTGTAAATAAATATCACCTATAACCAAAATTTCTACATCCAAAGCTGACATGAAAACAAAGAAGCAGGAAAGGTTGATGTATAACATACCCAGTAGTGACCATGGCTATTATCAAAAAAAAAAAAAGGAAGAAAAAAAAACGAAGAATGATTGTGTAGTAAAGATTAACTGGCTGTAGCGACTTTTTACACCATTTCCGTATACCATTCAAAGTCTGCTCCTTGACTGACTATTTGCCATGTAATACCCACACCAGCTTTGATAAACAACATGTTTTATAGTACCCAGGATCGACTTTCTCTTAACCTCGGCATTGGAATATGAATATGTCGTTTTCTTGTTCAGCAATCGCGAGGTTTTTAAACAGCATACATTTACTTCCATAAAAACAATACAATACAACACTAGCTGACGTTTCGGCAGTATCGCCTTCTTCAGAGCCGCTTTTTCGTGACTTCCAATGAGGAAGTTTAGAACAGCTGACTATAGTCGCATGTGGTTGACGACTGCACCATCGGTTGACGAGATGGTGTTGATTCCAGTCATATGTTTTCGAGAGTCTTTTGAAATAGACGGATTCTAATGCACGATAACGCCTTTTTTTATGTTCCATAACTGATCATCATGAAACTGAATGAGCCGAAGCATTGAATGGTACCTCGTCTGCTTTTCTATTTGACCTTTAACCAATGAATTTCCATTTGATCTAATGTCTGAACAACTTCATTCGCAAGAAAATGCATGGAATCAGTTCAACAACTTTTCCCCATACCAAACATTACATTGATGGGATGATCACAGTTGTAGCACAAATGTATTAATTGTAACAGTTAGTATCGTGATAGGCAAAGTTGAATTTCATAGGTTTTGTCGTACACTGGTCTACTGTCTATCTCGTTGACTCATGTGAGATCCTTTCCCCACGCATAGCCATCCACCGTCGTCAACTGACGCGTTATGAGAAGATCACAATCATCAACTGTTAATCAACGAGCGACGCAGCTGATGAGTACGAATTAGATGCGTTCTACTATCAGTTGGAGGAAGTTATCCGCAATGATAAAGTATATCATAAATTTGTTGTCGGAGGCTTCAACGCCAGAACAGGAAAGGCCAATGAGAACGAATACAGGATCGGAAATTTTGGATTATGAGAAAGGAATAGGAATGGAAACCATTTCGCTGGACTCCTGTCTGCAGCACGTTTCTTCCATGGAAACTCGTTCTTCCAGAAGAAAGAAAGCAGCCGTTGGACATGGGAGTCTCTTAACGTCATGACTCATGCGGAGATTGACCACATTCTGACAAACAGAAGATGGTGCCTACTTGACACATCGGTAGTCTTGTCATTCTGTACTGGTTCCGATCATCGCCTTATTCGCGCAAAGATTCGATTCAGCCGTATGCTGGAAAAGAATTCATGTCATCGACCACGAGTCTAGCTCTGTACGATAAGAACACTTTGTACGAGGCCCTATCCAAACGTGACTGGCAGATTAAAGAAGACCCGACCGAAGACTACGATAAGGATTGAAAAGCTGTGCCGAATATGCCTCAGTTCCTCAAGCAAGAAGATCGGATCGCATCTCCACTACTACTGAGATGCTTGAAGAGAGAAGGAAACTGAGGATTGATCCTACTGCAACACGTTTAACACGGCTGGTAATAAATGTTAGCTGAAGAACAGCTTTGTAGGAGGACCTACATCGGTACAGGCAAAGGAAACTACGGGAAGCAGCAGAGAAAAGAGGCAGTCCAACAAAATGTCGTTGGGACTTATGTGTGACTGTGGTGCTCCGCTGTCAGTGTTGGTGAACGAAGAAGGGATCGTCAAAACTTCCCGCCATGTTATGGAATTAATAACGGAAACGTTCTACATCAGTCTTTTCCATTCCACAATTCCCATCCTCGACCCTAATATACCCGTTGGTGAAAAACCACGTGGAATTCTTCCGTCGGGGGGTTCGAGATGCGATAGAAAGCATGGAAAGAGGCAGAGCTCCACGACACGATAATATTACAGCTAACTTTCGAGCTGGAAGCCACAGTTTATATGTACTCTTCGCAAATCATATGAGAGCGTACTCACAACAGGAAAAAATCCTAGACCAGTGGAGGACGTCGCGCACAGTCATCCTGACCAAGAGAGGTGACCGAAGGGATCATCGTAACCATCGTCCGATATGCTTGTTGAGTGTCCTCTATAAGCTCTTCACGAAGATTATCCTCTCGTGCATGTCAAGGACACTCGATGAGGCACAACCAGTGCAGTAAGTAGAATTTCGAAAAGGATTTTGCTGCATGGACCACATCCAAACTGTGTCCAGAGTCATCAAAACTTGTCGGGAATATCACCTGCCTCTAGTTCTAACCTTTGTCGACTGTGAAAAAGCGTTTAACAGTGTCAAAACGAATGCAATCCTATCGGCGCTCGTCGACCAAGGAGTGGACCCGTCCTATATAATAACTCTGTCTGACTGTTATCGGAACTGCGCTATGAAAATACGGCTTCTCCATCGACATCTTCGCATACACGTAGGAAAAGCGGTTCGATAAGATGGTACAGCATCGCCAAAGCTGTTTAGTACGCACTGCAACGAATAATAAAATCACTTTACCGCGGTGAGAAAAGCTTACACATCGTTGGAAAATTCCTATCAAACCATCGTTTAGCGGATAAAATTGTCATCTTCTCAAGAAGTACCAGAGAAGCAGAGACGATGATCGATGAGCTCAACGAAGCGGGAAAAATGATCGAACTATGCATGAATCAGAACACGCAGTTCATGAAAAACCCATTGTGCGAAGGCGAATAAATTGTTGAACTGGATGGTTCTCTGACTGCAGAGACCGCTCCGTGCGTATACCTTGGGCGATCAATGAACATGGAAAACAACATGAAGGAGGAACTAGACAGAAAAAGGAGAGCAGTTCGGGCCTCATTTGGGCCTCTCAAAAAAGCTACCAACCGACTGAAAGACCCGAAAATCCGCGCGCACCCTTTCGATTAAGCGGTCCTCCCAGCGCTCTGTTATGCAGCACAGACGTGGGCTGACAGTTCAACCACGTCGAGAATACTGCGCACTACCCACAGAGTGCCTGACCGATTTCTTCTGAAGTACAATAAGCACTCACAATATCTAGCCGGAATTCGAAGCTCTGATCTTCGAAATAAGTCACATCATCGGGATCCAAGAGAATACACATCGATAGCGAAAAACACATAGGTCAGTCAGGTAATGAGAGGGACGGATGACAAATGGACGAAAAGAATTGTAGAGTGGACTCCAAGAGAATGCAAACGTTCCCTAGGACGACTACCTACACGTTGGGCGGACGTGTTCGTAAACAAAGTTAATGAGCTATACCCGCAGCTGCAGTTATTTTACAGATCATGATGCTATGAGACTCAAACGCGCCACCATGTTCGAATAAAATCGCCACAGTGGACGACGATTGTGAAAAAAACGAATGGAAAATGTGCTAGAGTCCGCACAACTAGTGAAGACGGACCAGATCGCTCATGTACCCAAGTGAGCAAAGAGAACGAAAATAATACCAACGAAAATAGTACAAATACTTCGTAAGTATATAAAATCGGTTTTTTTTCTAGCAACAAAGTTCTCATGCTAGACATATGGGCAACTAGGAGCGTAGGTATTCAAATAGCAGAGTAACTACTAAAAGTAGAATCCTGTTGAAATTGGAAATCCTTCCCAATAAAGTAGATTCTGGTAACGTTTCGTCTCCTTCTTGTAAATAGCCGCGCTTTAACGATAATATAAAATCGTTCCGCACTCACCAATGCCTCTATACTTTTTCGCAAGGAAATAGAAGATGCAACCATGGAATAGCCCTGGTTCCTGCAATACACTCATTTCATATGACCTAAATGTGAAAGTATATTGTGAGAACAAAAACATAACGTATAAGGAGAAATCGATAAATGGAAACAAGAAGAGGAATAAGGGAAAGTACCAGTGAAATGGACGAAAATTTGAATAAAGAAATAAAGGAAATACGAAGTAGAAAAGAAAGAATAGAAGTAGAAAAACATTAAGCCCAGCAATACCCACTGAACTTGGAAAAAAGGACCAAAAATCTACCCTGCAAACGACAAGTTTGCAAAGGCAAACGTCAGCTAACCTCCTGCTCAACGTCTTCAAATGCAATCTGGTAACATTTTAACAAGTCAACAAAGAATCCCAACAAGATCTCGTGATAATATCGAAAATACTAAGAAATTTGCGGTGTTTGGCGGCAATGAAAGAAAACAGAAAGAAAATTGGCAACATCTAACCACCATTGATTCTCTCAACGAAATATACAAGTACCAGCAATATCACACCATTCTCTCCTTACTCCTCCTACAGCGACTCAAAGAGTCGTAAACGACATCGTTCGCCGTGTGTCGCAGCTTCGAAACTTCATAGCTGAAAATAATAAGGTTGAATATACACATGAATAATAGGGAGACGAATTGCACCTTTGATGTGCTGTTTATTTTGTGAAAACATAGTCATATGCTGCTCAGTAGACTCTGTGGAAGAATAGATTTACTCTTAAAGAAGTTCCAGATTGAAATTGCGAAATCCTTCTCACGTTTACAGAGCTTATTATGGAGATCGAATGACGCTCTGCATTTGAGCTTCACAATCAGGAACCTCCCAATGCGTGGTGACAAGTTGTTATGAATTCCCGAACAGGTCGGAGTAAATTTGCAGCACAAACGGTCAAACCAGGAATTTTCACTTCATTAAGTTGTTCTCGTTTTTCCTTAAGTGATACTGAGATTTTTTCAGCATTATTCAGAAAGACATCATGCAAACGTTAGAATAAAAAAGTATGTGAGGAAGCTGGTAACCAGCAGATACACCACGTTCTCCTAGCTTATTATATCAAACTTTCTCATAAAATCGAGTATCCTGCTCGAAGAAAAAAACCGGTTATAAGACGAACCTAAAAAAAAACGTTCACGAAGGCCAAATTTGTTAATGGAGTACCATTCCCAATCCACCTTAAAATACCGTGTTTGAGCACCACATATCTCTGTATCCGAACTCATAAACCACTATAAGTGCAACCCATCTTTCTGATCTACTGTGCGGATACCAGTACTTCCCGCATTCGAACTGTTTCTTCGCATCAATCACCGTGAAAGTCTTACAACTTTTTACACGTGGGTTAGGCTGCTGCTTGAGTATATTCCCTTTGTCTTAAATGTTGTTAATTGCTTGTCTATTCGATTTTCTCTGGAGTCCTGAAATGGCCGGACTAGAGCGTTCCCACTTGGATTGCAGAGAGCACACTTTTCCCAGACAAATCTGGTACCATACCAGCCTGCAGACCCCTGAGATGATGGAATTGGTGGATCCACGCAGGGTCGAACCAGCACCGTGCTCTTGATGATCGGCATCACTAGCGCTGTGATTCCCGCTCCCTAATAAGTGGTTTAGCTCCAGAGATATGCAAGAAAAATCATGCTGTTTTATGAGTTTGTAGTAATATCAACGATTTAGTGAGAACGACGAAGAAGTAGTGTCAACACACCTACCACTAGTGAAGTCCTAACCAAAGTCCTAGAAACAGAGCTATCAAACATGCTAACTAGGATTATTATCCAATCAAAAATAATAATCCAAAACTCAGGTTTGCAAAGTGATTAAAGATTAAGGAAACTAGTTAAATTAATAACTATTGTGGAAATCAAATACATAGTAAAAACGCAGCAAAAATGTCATAAAAAAGTTATGCTTTTCATGTCCAGTGAGCGATCAGAACCCACTAGCAACTCACTAGCATGTGACACGGAGAAATGAAACGCCTTTAAAGACACCAACTTCAGTTACTCTGCAATCTATGAGATGCGAGGTGATCTACATAGATGGGACGAATCCAAGGCATGAGAAACTTTGGAAACACACTTCATGTTCGTGCTCTATTCAAGGATTTCATAAACCAATGAATACGAATTGCACATGAGCAAAAGACTAATCTATTCCTAGACGTACGCATGTAATGTAGAAGAATAATAGTTAAGCTACGAAAGCAACCTACTTTGTATGAGGCAATATCTTTTCTTGTCGAATGCACTCGTTTAACCACTCGGTGCTCATTATACGGGTGTTTCTAAAAGAATCGTACAGAGAGAAGAAATAAGGTGCTTACAGATCATTTCCTCGATATAGGGGGATGAAGATTTTCAGTTTTCATCCAATATTGCCAAAAAGTTTTAAACAAAAAGTAGAAGCCAACAAACTGCATCATTGCACGCAGAAGATCGGCATTACTACTGCAAGCACCGTCCGCATCTACTGAAACTACATAGTGAGTTGTTGTCTCATCGCAAAAGTCAATGACCTAAAAATAACCTGTAAACAACTGTGGTCACTTTCAAGAATCAGAAAATTTTGAATAAAACAATGAATGTCATGTTCTTCCGTAAACACTCACTGTCATCAGTTTATTAATAATGGAGAGGTCGTGGTATGACAAAGCCTTTCGAATTTCTCGAGAAATACACACGACATAGACATCAGGCAAGCGGGCAACGACTAGAAAATTTTTAATCATTAACAATAATTTTTTGGAAAGGAAACATGGACTGACATGGTTGCTTCGGATGGGTGCGGTATTTCTCTACAAGAAGGCGGAGAGGTGAATGAGGCTGAGCCAGTTGTGAGGGTGTTTGCTGCCTGATATTGCGGATCTGGAAGTGATTACACCATTAGTATATGCTAACCATTCAAAAATTTGAACAAGTCCTTTGATTGGAATAATCCCTTTGCTATCGTACTGCTTCAGCAAGCTAGATTTAACACAAATGCCTATGTGAATAGCCTTCTTTTTCATTCGATAAAAAAATTGCCAGAGGAATACAAAGTACTTCGAACCACAACCTACAGAAATTTTCCACTTCGAGAGAGAGAAAGAGAGACGGAGAGAGAGGTGAGACACAGAGAATCAGATGGAGGAATAAACCCTCTTTGACGCAAAAACTACAATTCTTACCGTTTTGCTGGCTCCTTTCGACAGCAAATATTTGACGATTTCTTCGTTTCCTCGTGACACAGCAACATGCAGAGCAGTGTTGCAGTCAGAACCACCTCGATACAATCAATTAAGAAACAATGAAATTCGAAATTCAGTGTCTGAAAACCAATTGGCAAGAATCCATACAATTCGCATTAATAACTGCTCCACCACGCTCAACAAGACATTGGCAAATATCCAGACGTTCCATTTCCACTGCTATAAATAAAGGAGTGCGTTTTTTATCATCACGTTGATTTACATCATATCCGGCCTGCAAGTGATACGGATGAGCTCCAATATTTGAGAGAAGAAAGAGAAAAAAGGAACTATACAAATCAACGCAACTGCGTTTGAAATAATATCATACCTCGACGGCATCCTGAACATCGTCTAGTTTTCCACCGATAACGGCAGCAATAACTGGATCACTTGAGCACTGTCCTGTTTTTGGAGTAGAGAATGAAGACTTACGGGAGCGAGAATTAGAATAATACTGTAACAGATTTACATCCTAACAATTACGCGATGACTTCATCTCTAGACGAGACAATTATAAGGTGACATTGTGGATGGCATGGTCTCTATAGAGGTCATTTTGTGGTGGACGTCGGTAAAGGAATGCTTTACCCCGCACTAAAAGTGTGTGAAAAACGTTGCCTCGCGAGAGTTCACTGACCAGTATTCTGGCTGGTAATTAACTGTTATTTCATTTCTGATCGTTATGTCACAATTGCAGTGTGGAATCGGTGGGTACAAAAAATACATAATTGGACTCAACATAAGCGTCAAAATACGTATAAGTGCTGACAGAAATATCTTTGCATGATGGGCCAGAATAAAAGAATAAAAGGGTGACCAATCCTTAAGCGATGCGCTATGCATTCAACTTCATCGCGGATCATACAGCTGGTTTATTCCATATCTGGTCTGTACACCAACATACAGTGCTCCTACGAATGGTACCAAGTCAGTGCTGCTATCCTCCCACATAATTCTTGTACAAATTTGCCGATCCTGTAGGAAAGGGAAGATTGTTGGGCACGGGAGGTGGGTGATGGAACCAGCAACCGAAAGAGAGAGTACTACAGGGCACTTCTAACTATTGCGTTGTGCATTCTCTTCTCCAGTATAGTAGAATAAAGGAAATACTATTAAGCGTAATATTCAAAGCAACAGAGCGACAGAGTAAAGTCTATTTTACAATTTAGTGGTGTTGTTCTCAACTTGTCAAGCCTTTTGCTTATTGAAAATGGAGTTTACTGTCAAGGAACCAACAGACCCGCAACGAAACGAAATCGGACTTCATCGGATGCAGTAGTCGCGTAGATATTAAGAAATCTTCCCACAAATATTCATTCTGATCCTATGGCTGCTTAAGGAACACACCTCAGCTTTCAGTCCTTGCCTGGGTGTTTCACAGCTTGTCCTACACACCGTCGTTCCAGAAAAATTGTTTTCACATTTCATTTTTACACGTTCTTCTGTGACAGCAGTATGTTTCTTACCAGAAAGGTTCAGCCAAGGAGCTACATTCTAAAACATATAAAAAGTTCTGATGCAAAACTGATTGCAGCATATGAATGTGTTTATAAAATGGCAGGATAATTTCTTGGCTATAGCGAAATTATCGGAAGAACTTTCACGTACTAATAGAATTAACTGTAGATGTTATATCAATTAAGCACTGATACGACATTACTAGTCATTAAAGAAAAGAGATATTATTCACTTACGACTTTATGTCCCCTTGTATGGAAAGTATTTTTAGGTTTTGCTACGAAGTAGTTACAGAGCTTCTCGCTGCGATACGGCCTTATTTCCTGTAAGACAATAACTGAGATGGAAAGCAACACCATGTGTAAATGGGGCCGTACCTGCTTGTCCTCGTTTTCGAACATGTCATTACGAGCATGTGCAGCTTGTGAAAGAAACAAACTGGGCTGTTGTGTTGATGTCATCAGTGGTTGGACAAATTGTGGTAAGCTAACTGTGATCAAACCACTTGTCCTTAATGTTCTAATATAAAGACAGAAGCAGGAAACCAATGGGCTCGTTGTATTCATAAAAGCAGCAGAAGCATTACTATATTCAACCACCTGCTTCCCAACACCCATGATAATGGCCTACCGCTTCGAAACTTTTTTTGTTTCTAAAATCTCCGAATACACTAATTTTACACTCCATTTCGAAGTGAGTTAGGAGTAATGTCTCAAGTTTGAAATAAGAAAAGAAACCGAACTGACTTTGCTGTAGCGGTGAGCTTTTGATCAGAAAAGTTATCGACGAATTCTCCAGATTCCACAAGCGCATCATGTTCAGCCACATTCTCAGGCACCGCTACTTCACGCGTCAATTGAGGGGGTGGAGTGTCGCTTAGTTCCTCGGAGAGATCACTTTCCAACTGACTAAAAATGAAGTACATCATCACTTCCATAAAAAAATAGTGAACGGGTTTTTAACGATGTAGAAAGCGTACCCTTCCATGTCATCATCACAGCTGTCGGCAAGCGAAAGTCTTTGAGTGCTGATAAACTCGTTAATGGCCCTTCAAAGTCAAAAAGTAATGAAATGCACTATGAATGCAACTTGCTTTTCTAGGGCAGACATACGCATTTCTTTCAGCATCATCTTTTTCCTCAACAGTGTAGTCTCCATGAGCCTCGAGCAGTTTCTGCGTTTGTTCAATAGTCTCAGCAACAGCCGTACCCTCGCTTCTAAGAACTCGTTCATACTAGAAATTCAGATATGAAACCTATGCAGAAACCATTAACTTATATGAACATCACGGTAAACCACCTGAATGCTTGTGGAATACTCAGATAGCATTTACTTTTCTAGTGCTCTAGAAATCCGAGCATAAACTTTAAAAGGCGACTGACACGGTTCCCATGTATTCGAAAACAAAGAAGAAAAGTTCACGTAAAGTAGTACTTGCTTTCAGGAAGTAAATGCTACTCAAGTGGTTCTTCCATAAAACATATTGTAAAGCGTTTAATTATGGCTTTACCAACGACATCTGTTTCAACTTTAAAGAAACACTGTCATGAGCAAATAAACTCTTCACTGCAGCAAACCTTTCTCTTACAATAACTTGCAAAACCTATTCGCTTATTTTGCAAACAAAGACAGTAATGGAGTAGACTTCTTTTAGTACAAGAGAAGGAGACGGAACATAACACGAACACTTGAAGCTAAAAGCAGAAAAACCGCTAAATTCAAAAAATCCTAAAACTACCTTAAACTGGGATTTATTCAAATCACTAGTCGGCTGTTAGGAAGACACCGTTCTCGATAACATCGACGAGACATGCGGTCGGCTCATTCAACATCTTCACGTTAGCGCTATGAAAGATGAGAGTTCGAAGGACACCAAGAGACGTCTGTCTCCAGAAAAACTCGAGTTGATACGCCAGCGTGGAATCGCATGAGCTGCAGGTTACCGCAAACTAACGTCCGAACTTGCAAAACAATGCAGACAGGCGATAAAAAAAGATCTTAAAGAGAGAAAAGCAGCAGTAATGGCCGAAGCTGCAGAGGCCGGGAAAAAAATGCTATTGCGTAGGTGAAAAATCGAACGGCACCAGGTGCGGCCAGGATAAGATTTGAACACCTGAAGAACCACATGCCAGTCCTCGTAAACACACTGGCTTCGCTCTTCACGCGTTACCTGTCTGATTCCACGCTCCCTACTCAATGATAGACTAGCAAAATCGTGCTACTGTTCAAGAAGCGTGACCTACACGATATCGGCAACTATCGTCTAATCTGCTTGCTGTCTGTCGTCTACAAACTTTTCACTTGAGTCATCTTAAACAGGACCGACAGAACACTGGACGAAGGGCAGCCATGTGAGCAAGCAGGGTTTCGAATAGGATTTAGTACAATGGATCACATCCACACGATAACAATACTGTACAGAAGACTGATCCATCTCACTTTCATCGATTTAAAGAGGGCCTTTAACTCAATTGAGATAGAAGCAGTCATGGAAGCTCTGGACAGTCAGGGAGTTTCAATTCATTAGAGTAAGATTCTTAGTGAGCTGTACAAAAATTTCACAATAAAGATATCACCATTCTACAACCATATTGACATCAACGTCAAAAGAGGGGCTAAGCAAGGCAGTACCATCTCTCCGAAATTATTTACCGCCACGCTCGAGAACGTCATGCGAACAATGGAATGGGATTCGATGGTTGGCAATTGCACCATCTTGGCTTTGCTGATCACACTGTTCTTATAACACCAAACACTAGCCAAGAGGAACAAATGCTTGCCGACTATAATAAAGTCTGCGAAGAAATTGGTCTTCGCTATATTTCACAAAAACGATATCCATGGGAAACGGATTGGTTTCCTATGTCCCATTCACGTTCAACGGAAGGAATATCTGCAAGTGCTCCAGTTCCGTCTATCTAAGTTGCGAAATCAAAATAATGAACGACTTAGCTCCGGAAATGAGCAGAAGGAAACGAGCAGCTTCGGGAGCTTTCAAATGCATACAGGATGAAGTGAGGTGAAGAAAGAACACCATACTTGACTCCGTGCTCACCTTTTAGACTCCACGATTCCTACTGCCTTAACGTATATGCGTCAGAAACGTGGTTTCTGCGTAAGCAGGATTAAAGTTCACTCAACGTTATAGAACGCGCAGTCGAAAGGACAATGCTAGGAGTATCCCGTTTCACACAAGTAAGGGAAGAAATCCGAAGCTCCGAGCTGCATCAACCATCAAGAATCAAAGATACCGCTGTATACGCCGAGCAGTCGAAGATAAGGTGGGCCGGACCCGTAATGCGTATGAATGACAACCGATGGACAAGAGCCGTTAGTTACTGGATTCCTCGGGATGTCAAACGTACTGCAGGAAGACCACCGATTCGATGGTCAGTGGTCAGAGCTCTTCACAAAGAGCCTTGAAGAAAGGCATGATGCTCGACGAGTCTTTAGAGCGAGCAGAACCCGCTGGACTACACTTGCACGCGACAGTGAAAAATGGAAGATTTACTGGCGACCGCTCGAGTCATTCGACGATCAACGGGACTACGGATGATATAGGTGATTTAAAGCCAAAAAGAAACACCACGAATAAATTTCAAATCATCATGGTCATGCCCAAAATAGAATTATGAGAATAAATAAACCGTAGAAATAGCGAAAACCAAAAGACTTCGAGTCTACGTATCAACTTGCCTCTTGCAATAACAACTTGAACTCGTTGATATGTTGGGCGAGATTATTGAACATCTGGGCCGCTTTAGGTCGGTGCACTTCTAATGGACAGGAACATACTGGGCACACGACCAACGTATTCATGTTGGAAAAACAGTTAACGCAGTCCCTATTTCAAAACTGGTAGAATAAGCGGTATTAGCCTAATACTTCAACGAAAGGTTTAGAAACAGACCAACAAAATGCATGCTTGCACGCAGTCCCAAGAGTTTGCAGTTGGTCCGACTCTTGTGAACTGTAACAACATCACCAAAAGTAAGAACAGTAGAGAAAACGAAAACGAATGGACCTAACTCACCAGTGGGGATTGGCGCAGCAGATCAATTTCGCGAAAATATCGGCTGCTTGTTTTGTGCGCTCGAATCCTGGCATCCTAAAGTGAATTCAAATGCAGTAATGACAATAACAAAGAGGAACAGCATCTACAAAACACAACGTCTGAAACATACCACAGACCTGCATGTCTTCAAAATTCGCGCCAATTCCTCCGCTTACACTGCAACTCGTCCAATTGGACGTAGTTTTAACCAGCTGTGCTGCGCATACGGGTAGTGCATGTGATTGATGTCCAACATTACATCATATCTGAAAGGAATGAGTACTGCTAGGCGTTGACTTATTCTGTTGATGGACATCAGCGATCTTTTCAATCTGTACGTACTGGATTAGGGTCATATACACATGCAGAACCCGAGATGCAGCAATTTACTTTGCCTCAAACAAGTTTTTTGGTGCAGTTTTGCGTTCAATCCGTAGCTTGGCTAACGCTATGCAAAACAGTGCTGTAAGAGAAATGCCCTAACTGTACGTATAATGCTGCCCCCAAGGTGGTCCCAATGACTCGCGTACCCTACTTTCGCCGCTTTGAAACTCGCTTCACTTCTAGGAGAAGCACCAATCGATAGCCACGCACTTGGTCCCGAAGCCAAGCACCCCACACGGTCCTCGTGGAATCGGCTTCTTCCTCTATACTTGCTTCCTCAACCAAAAGTAAGTGTATGTCAGCAATTGCTACCATTTCAATAGGAATCCAGTGTCAAGAGGGATGATCTCCGTTCTATCCACAAATTTCGGTGATTGGCCAAAGGTATAATTTGAGAAAGCCATATCACAGTTTTTTCATAACTCCAGAAAAAGCCTATCATGCCATTGCATCAAACTAGGAATCAAATGAAAATTGTGATCAGGCTCATCGAACTCCTCTACATAAAAAAATCATTGTTTCGATCCCACGTAGAGGACAAGGTAAACTGACCAATACTCGAAAAATTTGCCTGTGTTTTTGCCTGAGAGGATAGTAGCACTGACTTAAAACATCGATAGGTTCACACAAGTCATTCTATAAACCAGATATGTATCCAGTCACCTCTGGGATACTTGACAAATATGAATTCATTGTGCATCCTCATCGATCGATCAATGTCGAACGCTTTAAGCTTCCATACTTTATAGGACCATGAAGAAGATCTTATTGTAGAAATGTCAAGTACGTGCAGGGACTTCACTCAAATACCAGTATTCTTATAGGAGATTTAGCAGCAGTTTCGTACGGTACCTGGTAGCTTTGCAAACTGACAACACTTGTTAAATGACTTGGAACATTGGTCATGATGACTTCGAATATTGGTCAGCTTACCTTGTCCTGTACGTGGGATCGAAACAATGGCTTTTATGTAGAGGAGTTCGATGAGCCTGATCACAATTTCCATTTGATTCCTAGTTTGATGTAATGGCATGATAGGCTTTTTCTGGAGTTATGAAAAAACTATGATATGGCTTCCTCAAATTATACCCTTGGCCAATCACCGAAATTTGTGGATAGAACGGAGATCATCCCTCTTGACACTGGATTCCTATTGAAATGGTAGCAATTGCTGACATACACTTACTTTTGGTTGATCTTTCCAGTGGAGATGCCGAACTCCTCGGAAGTTCGGAAAACCTTATTAAGAATGACCACCTGCTGTGTGTTGCAGTTGGACGCTCAGAAACATATTCCTGCTAGGACAAGGCGGTCAATCCTTGGGTAGAGGTTAGCATACACACGCGCTATTCCTCATCAAATCAGTGAATTGAAAAAACGACGTGGGCCGATTGCGGTAGTAGTGATGCTACACAACTGAATATTTCGTCGATAGAAATATACTATATAAGTCCATAAAATCTTAGTTGAGAATACCAAGAACAAATGGAGAAAAGAAGCTCTTACAAACTGAATAAAAAGCTCATTTGTTTGAGGAGAGAAGGTAATA